GTTGTTGTTGTTTTTTTTTTTTGTTTAGTTGTGGTTGTTGTTGGTGGTGGTGGTGGATTTTTTTTTTAAAAAATTTTTCGGGGGGGTTGCTTTGCTTTCGTTTGTTTGTGTTTTTCTTTTCATAGTTTGTTATAGTAAGAGTAGATCTATACGTAGATACAGTGTATTAATTATGTGAGTGCCTGTGAGTCAAAGCAGGATGCCTCCTAAATGATCTAAATAGGGTTGATTGATAGTTAGGAAGGCAAACGATTTACAAATGCAATGTTTATTCAAAAGGTAAGACAGACCGACAGAAACAACAGAGGGAAAGTAAGAAACAAGTAGGACACACCAATGGCGCCCTCAAACCACCAGCTATTCCAGTCTGCAAATGTTAGAAATTTGTGAAGCGTGCTGACAAAATGAGTTACTTCTTGGATTCGAGCCCTATAAAAATAGATACATCAAGCTCATACCTCATATAGCATAGATGAAGTTTTTACAATTTATAAGTATTAAATAATGAAACGCATGTTATAGTAGTCAAAGTACAATAGAAAATCTACAAATTTGACCCTAGAGTCGATTTTTTGGCAAATATTTCCCTTTATGGATTGTGAAAAGTAACTCATTTTGTCAGCACACCTCACATTTCCTCAATTCCATTATATAACTAAACATTGAGCATGTGAGTGTGCCTACCTGTCCGTTGACCTCTACCGACATGACAAAGAGCGGCGCGTGCACGGGTCCCGTCTGTGAGACAAACTTGAACTGTGTGCCGGGCTTCAGCTCGTTCAGGTGCATCAGGGCGTTCTTCGGGGTGGGCGGGGCCAGCATGCGGCGCTTCTTCTTGGTCACGCCCCCCACGTCACCGCCCGGCCCCGCCCCTCGCTTGCCCAGCATGTCGTCCTCCTGGCCCCCAGTGCCCTCCTCCCCTGTCTCCGCCCCCGGCTTCGGCTCCGCCCCCGGCTTCGGCTCCGCCCCGCCCTCGGCTGGTTGGTCAGTAGAGCTGTCGGCTAGGCTGGCTGCTCGACGCTTTCTCGACTTCTTAGTCTCCACCGGTAGGTCTGAAACACACAGACAGAGGTGGGGGAGGGGGGGAGGGGCGGGTTAGATCGATGTTACACGAGTGTGGGAAAGGGCGATCTACACGAGACAGAGAGAGAGAGAGAGAGAGAGAGAGAGAGAGAGAGGGAAAGATGGAAAGGAGGTAGGGTGGGGAACAGTTAGTTCCAAATCTAAAATATTTTGAGAGCTCCCTACTGCCAGATGCACAATGGATGGATGGATGGACAGATGGATGGATGGAAGGATCGATATTGAGACATAAAGAGAGAAAGAAAGTGGGGGGAGGGCAGAAGGAGGAGGAGGCGTGGGGGAGGAGTAGGAGGTGGAGGAGTGAGAGACTGGTTGCTTCTTCTATACTACACACTGTTGACCACCCGGTTAACCTCTCAGAATTAGACGAATAACCATCCAGAAGAAGAAAAAGGTAGCC